TCTAGGAAGTCTCCCTTCTGCCCTAAGTCCCAAGCACAAGCCCTCTTACCTGGTTTCTGAATGGTGTGTGCACGCGCAGCATGTAGGAGACCTACGCAAAACAGAAAGAGTCAGGAGAATCACTTCCTTAAACTGCCCTGCCTCGATTTCTGTCTGTGCCCCTGGCAAGACTCTTCTTCCACCGACTGTGTGCACCTGCACACCTAACTGGTGTCCCATCTCCTCGCCGGCTACCTCACGTCTCTCTCACTTCGTCACTTCTTTCCCAGCCACCACCCTTTCTCTCTCATCCTGCCGCAGCCCTTGTGCTGCTCCGAGTCTCCCGAGTCCTCCATCTCTGCCCCCTCCTCCACTGCTCACACGTTGGCCACAGGCCGCAGCGCGCTGAGGGCGGCCCCGCGCTTCCTCCGCCCCGCAGCGCTGAGATTGGGACCTGCGCCACTGCCTGCGCGCGAACCGAACTCAGCGCCCGCCATGCAGCCCGTAGCATGGTGACTCCTGACCCCGCGGGCCCGCGCCGCCACCGTCCCTTTCACGGTGGTACCGGGTTACAGGGGCGCCGCCATGATGGCTAGACGCGACCAATCGAGGTGCGAGCGACAAGAGTAGACGAGGGCCGAGAGAATGGATTGGCGAGCCCAGCTCCAGAGGGTCAGGAAGCTTCAGGGTTTGGTTAGTGTCGGCCAGCTGGACAGCCTGTCGTTGCGGTTAGGGCTGTGTGGTGCTGTGCAAACTCCAAACTGGCCCCTTTTCTTGAACAGGTGTTCTTTATTTTTCTTTTTGAGACAGGGTCTCCCTGTAGCCCCGGATGGCCTGGAACTTGCTATGTAGACCAGGCTGGCCTCCAACTCACAGAGATCTGCTTGTCTCTGCCTCCCGACTGCTGGGATTAAAGGGGTGCGCCCCCACGCCTGGCTGGCAACAAATTTCTTTTGGCCTCCAAGGACACAGCACATACCCCCATAAATATAAATCTTTAAAAATTAATTAAAAGTAGGAAATAAACCGGGCGTGGTCGCGCCCAGCAGTTTAATCCCAGCACTCTGGGAGGATCTCTGTGAGTTCCAGGCCAGATACTTCTGGCCTGTACGGTCACTGCGCACATGTACACAGACACACATACATACACATAATTAATTAAAATAAATTGTAAAAAAAGAAACCAGGAAGAAAGTTCTATTCATAATAGCTTCCCCAAACAAAACAAAATTTAGGAATAACCCTAACCAAGGAGGTGAAAGACATCAACAACAAAAACTTTAAAACATTGAAGAAAGGCCTGGCATGGTGGCACGTGCCTTTCATTCCAGCACTCGGGAGGCAGAGGCAGGGGGATCTCTGTGAGTTTCAAGGCCAGCCTGGTCTACATAGTGAGTTTCAGGACAGCTGCGGCTACAGGGAGATTCTATCTCAGAAAGACCAAAAAAAAAAAAAAAAAAAAAAATTGAAGAAAGAAATTGAAGATGGAAGACTTCCCAGGCTCATGGATCGGCAGAATTCATACTGTGAAGATAGCCATATTGCTGAAAGCAAGCTACAGACTCAAGGTAATCCCATCAAAATTCCAACAGCATTGTTGGAAAAAAAATCCTAAAATTCATATGGAAGCACAGACCCAGAATGTCAAAGCAATCTTGTGTAGAATAAGGTATCACAATATCTGATCTCAAATGATAATACAAAGTCATAGTAGCAAAAACAGCATAGTCCTGACAAAAACAGATACATAGACCAACAGAGTAGCAGGCCCAGAAACATACCTACACAGTTATAGCCACCTAGTTAGATTTATTATTATTTATTATCAGTGTATGCTA